GGAAGTATATATATATATATATATATATATATATAAGCAATTTTAATCAAGTATAAATAATATAAATTTCTTTTAAAAGTAATTCGAATGAACCCCCGATCTTATATAGTTGCGCTCCGATGCATACCTCCAAGCTTATAAATAGATTCATAAAAAAACAAAAACGCGTACACAAAGGACGTGGTCCTAAATAAACATCACTCTCTACCTTTTTTTTCCAATAAAAAATTCCCACTTTAATATTATTACACACATATATATATATATCTTTGTTTTCTTCTTCTTTTCTTCACACATCAACTTTAGTAAATCATTTTTTTTCTCCCTCTCTATGGAAACAGCTAATAATCAGTTAAAATACATGGAGAAAAATGATGATTTGTTAGTAATTTCCACTAGTGAAAATACTAACAAAAAGATCATCACAACAAATAATAACAAGAAATTATTATCAAATTCTTCTTCTTCTTCTTCATTAATTAGAAGTTGTCAAGCTGAGAAATGTAATGTTGATTTAAGTGATGCTAAGCAATACCATAAGAGGCATAAAGTCTGTGAATATCATGCTAAATCTCAAGTCGTCGTCGTTGCTGGACTCCGCCAACGTTTCTGTCAACAATGCAGCCGGTTAGATCATATATCTCTATCTCGTTTTATGTGACACTTTAATTTTAAGTTCACAAACTCTAAAATTACTTTATGTCCAGTTAAATACTGTCATATAGTTAAAAACGGAACGTACTAGTCTATGTTTATATAAGTAGTTGAAAAGCTGGTAATTTGAAAGTGACTATATAGTATAAACATAATAATAATAGTAACCATATATAGTATAGTACTATTAAAGATCGTATCTTAGTCATTGACTAATTTAGTTTAGCATGGTTTTAATTAATTAGATTATGTGTAGATTGACTTCTTAATTTTAAGTGGTTGACTAGTTCAGTTACTTTAATATCATATTATTGATGATTTTTTTTGTATGTTGTTAAAAAAGAAAAAAGTGGTTGAGGTAGATGCTAAAAATAGCATGGAAATATAAAAATTAAAGCTTCATTTTAAAGTGGATTCGAACTAAAAAGACATCTTACATCACTGCATTTTATAATATATGGTATTAATTATTTCTACATTTTTATTCTAAATTTACGATACGTTTTGATTAATTCAAATTTATAATAGGATAGCGAAGACTTATTGTTTTTTTTTTTATGTTTTGTTGTGATACATATAGCAGGATAGATAAATATGAGATGTATACTAATTTAAATTTGTGATGCGATAAAATTATTGATCTTTTTGCCTTTGCCTTTTTATCTTTTGTCCTACTAGTTTATTTATTTATTTATTTTTACTTTTGTGGATCCTAACCTTATCGTTTTTCCACATACATTAAATGGCCTTTAAAAAATTTGTTAATCAACTGATTTAAAAAAAGAGTAAATTTTTTTTTGTACTTTAAATGTATTTTCTATTTTTTATTTAAAAAATTAACAATATAATTACCATAAATTGTTGAAATATTATGTAAACTAGCTAAGAATGTCATCTTAACTATGTTCTTCATTCAATTTTTAAAAACATTTTCCATCTCTCAATCGATGATGGGCGAGTCGGGCCCTATTTGAAGAAGTGCTCTCTATCAAGAATTTCTCTATACGAATAGTTTAAACTCGAGATTTCGGATAAAGAACGAGTAATCTCGTTCGTATTCTTCATACTTGGATGGACAAGCATATTTTTGAATCGTGTATTAACAAGACAATTTAGTTAATTAATGAATCATTAGTTAATGTTCCTAATCTCGATTTTTTCTTCCATTTTTAAAATTAATTTATCACGTTGTAATTGCTGTAAACAAAATCAGATCTGGCCACGTACACATTACTACAGATATCTGATTTAATGATATTCTTTTGATTGATATTTTCTTCTTAATTAATAAATATATTAAACAAAATTAGGTCCAAAGAGGCTAATTTGTTAGTTGATCTAACTATTTTACATCTCCTCCTGGAATTGGAAGAAATTCGGCAGCGGATCGCGAAATCCTGGTGATCTTCTCTATCTAATAAATGGGGAGTCCTCTTTAAAATCGTCCGCAACATGTAAAGCAAAAAAAAAAAGTTCCTATAGTTTGTCCTATAGAAAATCTGTAGTAACTTCGTGACGAGACAAGCTATTAAAAACTTATTATTTACCTTCTGACTAGTTTTTCGAAAATAATAATTTGCGTGTGTTATAGATACATATATAACTAGTGTGATTGGGCCCTTAATATAGTAGTAGAACCAGATGAACGTGACCCACTATTTCTCATCAACCTTTTGTAAAATGTGAATTTTGTTTGGTCATATCAAAGTTTGAACACACATAGTACTACTCTTAACTAGCTATTGTTTGGTCAAATGTAAAAATTAGAGTCTAACCAATAAAACAAAAGTTGAGGGGTATTTTTGATCATTTTTTGTAAAATTAATTGTACGTAGATTTCATGAGCTGACGGAATTTGATGAATCGAAAAGGAGTTGCCGGAGACGTTTGGCTGGACACAACGAAAGGCGAAGAAAGAGTACATCATCGTCATCATCTTCATCATCATCTGCAGACCGAATTCATATATCTATCCAAGAAAATCCAACTCACAAAAACTTTCACTTACGTTGAAAAAAAAACATATTTTATATAGTAATTTGCTCTCTCTCTTCTGTCATAAATCTGTTTCTAAAACAATAATCATCATTCACTTACCATCTGGTGATAATTAAGTACAATAAAGTATTTTTAAAATTGTTAAATGTTGTTATATTACATGTACTTGTAATAGGACATAGGATTTATTGCGATCGCGATAACTCTGAAGTTATTAGTATATATAAATGTTATATGCAAGGTTAGAGAGGTGGGGAATGATGAACTATGGACTTCAATTTTATATTGTGTTTTTGTAGATGTATTGTAAGAAGTTTTAAAAAGATATGCTCCTATAATTGTTAAGTTAATTTGTGTTTGTAAGTTTTATGGGAGTAATATATAATCATATTAACTATATGGACTATTTTATTGGAATTGGTGACCATTAGATATCCATGCTTTAATTTCTTTATTCACTTTAGAATAGAGTTTGATATATATTAACTTTGTCGTATTTATATAGAATATTATTTTTTGATGAAAGAGTGTTAATTGATTATTTTTTGATGAAAGAGTGTCAATTAATTCTTATTAGACAAATGTGTAGGTTCATCCTGCTTCAATATAATCAATAAGTTCTTAAAATTTTGTAAAATTACATTTTTATACAATCATGAAACTCGAGTATATCAAAATTTAAGCGAATGTCTCATCAATTATAAGGAGGCAAAATTCAAGATTGAAGGCAAAACACATAAATATATATTTAAAAATTGACACGAAGTGTCACTTTAGATATCTCAATTTAGAGACGTATCATTTAAATATTCGTAGTAGGACTTGGTTGTGTTGTTTCAACACTTTTCGTTCACTCGAACAAATATGTAATGAATATAGAACACTCTCATCAATGACACGTGCAAATAACGAATTAAATAAAGACACGTGAATATAAAATAAATTATGAGAAAAAAGATTGAAAAAATTTGAAAATTTGGTTAGAATTTGGCTAGAATAGTATTTTACCTTTTTGAACATTTTTACCTTTTTAACTTTAATACCTTTTAATTAAAAAAATAAAAGTAAGATCAATTTATTTTAAAATAAAAAATATTACTATTTTTTTAAAATTCAAGTTAAATTCTGGCCAAATTTTCTGGTCATTTAGGACCCATCTGACTATTGATTTCCCAAATAATATTTGAGAAAAAATTTGACAAATAAGCTTTGTCCATAAAATTTGTCATTATTGACAAATATCTCAAAATTTTAAATTCTAGTTTTTTCTAGTATTTGAGATAAAATTCATTATTTGGGATCTTTTAAAAATTAAAATTTACCCCAAATTTTTATATTTTGCAAAAACGCCCTATATAGTAGTTGTTTGCGTTGCATTACATATTTTCTTACATGAACAACAAATTAGTGATAAAATATTCGTGATGATAAGATTGTTGATGAAAATGATGAAAAATCAACTCAGGGTAACAAACTCATGTGTTTTGACTACTTCGCGATAAATTGAATGATACTTGATGCACTCACTTTAAACTACCATATTGTTTTAGTGTCATGAAACATTACTTGTTACTTGTTGCAACGAAGAGTCAATTGATTTGTATTATAAACTTATGATTAATTTTGATAGTTTAAAAAACTTATGTGTATGAATCAAAATTCAAACCCAAATATACCTGATGCATGTCCCACATAATCACAAATGCAAACTCTTGATTCTTTAATGGAACCACAATCACATACCTGATCCTCTCATAGAATCAAAATTCAAACCCAAATTGTTAGTGTGTTGGCGTGTACCTCGAGCCATTCATAGTTAGTGTGCCGACATGGTACCCGAAACAACCAACAATCACAAATAATCATGCACAATCACATAGCACAATGAACAATACCACTTGATTAAATCATAAGTTACAATAACAAGTTAATTGCATGAGATTACCTACACGATGTCATTGCATATGTCTCCCTACCACGCATTGCATAAATGATACTACAAAGCAGTAGACATGCATACATACATAAACAAAAAATATGCAATCACAACCTAACCTAGATTTCGTTTGAGGCTAGCCTGACCGAATATTTTAAGTCACTACCTAAAATGTTTTCTGGCCAAAATTCTTTCACTATTGGCTTATTCATAGCGATCGGGTCAGGTCGTTACACGTATATTATTCAAAATTATTGTCCAGTAATAAAAGTGTGAACATAGTGAATGCGCCTATCCCTTTTTTCAAATTCGGTCAATCCATTTATGAGAAATGTATAATTTATATATTGACGTCAGATCCGAATTAACTACTAACATCTGTCATTAAAATATATTAAAAACAGTAGCATCTTCTCGTGTGAATGCAAATACTCACGACGACGACGTTTTCAAATTGTAAAAAAAGAACAAAAAAGGTGAGCGTTTCGAGAGTTAAAGCCCACCTAACACTCTCTATACACTATTTAACACACGCAAACTATTTTTTCTTTTCGTAAAATGTTAAAATTACTTCTGACATTATTCGAAAGACAAACAAACCGTTTGTAAAAATAGACTTTCTTGATGTAGATTCAAACATCTCTATATACTATTCGATAAATCCAATAAGCTTTACTCAAATCCTAGATATAGCACCAAGTGACTAACATATTCAGTATTCATAAGCTTCAAATCTTGACTCCACCGTGCTGTTCCGACCTGGAATAGCAAAAGGAAAAATAATAATGAGGTAAGGAAGAAGAAGTGTTACAAAATTGTAAGAAATTGTGTATTTCTTATATATTTTCTTACATGAACAACAAAGTGATGATATGATTGTTGATGAAAAAGATGGAAAATCAACTCAGGGTAACAAAATCATGTGTTTTGATTACTTCACGATAAATGGAATGATACTTGTTGCACTCACTCCAAACTGCCACATTGTTTTAGTTATATGGACACTACTTGTTACTTGTTGCAACGAAGAGTCAATTGACTTGTATTATAAATTTATCATTAATTTTGATAGTTAAAAAAATTTATGTGTATAAATCATATTTTTTTCTAAAACATGAATTAAGTTTTCTAAATATTATATAACAAATACATAGTGAAATTTTACTCAAATTTTTACTCAAATAATATTTGTCAAAAAATATTTGAAAATCTATGGTTATAATACCTCATGCCTTCATGGATGCTCCACCATCACCATGCCCACAACGAAGAGTGAAATGTTAAATTCTCACCCACGAGGACAAAGTAATATTAAAATTAAACACGAGGACAAAGTAATATTAAAATTAATTATGAGTTCATATGAATTCATTAAATTTTACTTATGTTAAACATTTGTATTAGATGGTGATTCATTGAATGCATATAGATTAATTGTAAACACGTTAATTCAAAAAATTATAATTATATATGACACTAATTTTTTTTACATATATATTGCACGTTAATCTCGAGTTATGTGGTATGAAATATTATAAAACAATACTAATACTATCAATATATAATAAAAAGGTATTAATTGAAAATAATAACATTTTCTCGTGTGAATACAAATACTCAAAGCGACATCGTTTTTAAATTATAAAAAAAGAACAAAAAAGGTGAGCGTTTCCAGAGTTAAATCCATCTTATACTCGCTATACCATTGTTTAACATACACAAAATACATTCTCTTTTTGGAAAACATTAAAACTGCATCTTACATTATTCAAAAGACAAAAAACCCTTCGTAATAAAAGACATCTACATAGAAATGGATCAAATATATACAATGATGAATTCAATAAACTTGCTAAACTTTATATATAAAACTTAGTGACTATCATATTTTGTATCTATAAACTTTAAATTTCGATTCTAACAAGCAGCTATGTCCCTTTCATAGCAAAGAAAAAATAATAATGAGAAAAGAAAGACGAAGTGTTGCAAAATTGTAAGAATTATGTATTTAATAAAAAAACAGTGAAATATTTTATCATCCCAAGATCACTTCTCTTATCTTTTTTTTTCCTCTCCTATTCTTCACTGATTTATGATTATATATAGTAACTATTTTTTTAACACATATATTGCTCGTGATTGTTAAAATGTATTATGTAATATTAAAAAAATAACATAAATATTATTAAAATATAATTTTGGGTAGATAATTAAATATGAAAATATAATTTGATTTTCTTCAAAGGTTGAATACACATATAAATTTCAAAATTTTATTTAGACACCTTAACTTTTTTATGTGTTAATTATCAAAAGAGTGAAAATAGTAAATGTATTTGTTCCCGCTTTAGATTTATTTTATCCATTTATAACAAAAATGCATAATTTTATATACAACATCTAATTAATAAATACATTCATCATTAAAAGATAAATTTAAATTTTTTTGTGTGAACAATTTTACTGTAAGCAACCACGTCAGTTGATGAACAATAACAAAAATAAAAATCCCATCTTATATATTTCGAAAATATTAGAAATACTAATGACATTATTTAAAAAAAAAGGTCCATAAAAATATTTTTTTTACTGTAGATTTTCAATATCTACACTTTGGGGTACAATTACAGTATCAAACGAACAAATCTAATATTATTTTGCTTTATATATTATATTTATATTATGAAAATTCATCAAATATATAAAAATATCTAATTACGATCTCAATACTAACAAACTATACCCTAAAACTTCAAAATGTGACTCCGGTATGACTACGCAACAACAACAACAGCAATGCATAGTTTTATAAGTGAAATCGGAAATGTAAATTATTCTTAAAAGTCAAAAGTATAAATCTCGATCACTAAGAAAACAAAAAGATGAAAAAGCGAGAGGGATAAAAGCAGAGGCGAATCAGAATTCCAGACTTGTGGGTTCTAAAATTGATAGAAAAATCGTAAAACACAAATTACGTTAATGAGATATTTGTCATGTTTGAAAACATTACCTTAGATATTGTCATTCTAAAACTTATTTTAATAATATGAAGAGTTAGTAATTTATTTTAAAGTTCTAAAATATTGTTGATAAAAGATAATAATTTTTAAAATATAAATTTCAAACATTTTTATTATAATCTAGAATACTATTTTAAGTGAAAAAAAATATTAAACTCACCATTAATATTTTTGCACCTAAAATATATATTTTATTAGTTTTATTGTGACCGTTACTACATTCAAAAGTTAAATTTCGAAAAGCAAATAACAATTATTCACTATAATTAATTATCGATACATGAGATAACCCTAGGAAATATTAAAAATTAATTTTGAATAGGTAATTCTACCGTGTAAAAGCAAACAAATAAGAAAAAAATGAAAAAGGAGAGGCAAGAGTACATAGTACATATCGAGGGATAAAGATCGAATGATAGCAATAAAATCAACAGTAAAAGTTAAACCTCTTTTGAAAGTAA